TTTAATATTTGGTTTCCTTTCATAGAGGCGGACCTCTATGAATGACGTTTTCTTGAATTTTTATTATTAAAAAAGTCTAAATTTAAAAACCATTTTTGAAATCGAAATGTTATTGAAAATGTTTTTGACAATTTACTTTACAAACAAATAGGAAAAAAGTTTGAAACCATATGATTGTCACTTACGCCTTATTAATTACGACTTGTGTATGTATGTATGTATGTTGAAATAAAAATTGTGTAGAATCAAGGTGTATTTAATAAGGTGTATGCATCAGATACAACAACAAATATTTTACAAAAACAACATTGTTGTTATAGAAATTAAATTGTCATGCTGACAATAACTTTTTGACAAAAATAAACAAAAACAATTATTAATTTATTTTTGTCAAGAACTATTCTTTCAGGAATAATTGATGAATTTGTGTATTCTTAGGTTATTGGCGGTTTTAGGTCAGAGAAAAATAAAGTTTAAGACCTGGTCGTGATTAATTTTAAGTTACCCACTATTAGTCCATGGCTCCTTGTGATGTTGTTTGTATTGTGGATTACAATCTATTTTTTATGGAGTGGCTTCTTGCCTTCTTAAAGAAAATTGAAGGACATAAATCCCCGGCCAAAGACTAAATCATCAATCAAGGTGCCGATTCCAATATAGGCTAACATAATCTCCTCGATTTTATGAGTAGCTGGAGTTTCTGGACAGATTTCCACACATAACATAAAATATGTGGACCAATCGGAGAACGGGGTTATAACTGAGCCTAAGTTTCCTTTTCGTCCCCCTCTATGAATGTAGTATTAAAAAAACCTAAAAAAAACATTTTTGAAATCGAAATGTAATATTGAAAATGTTTTTGACAATTTACTTTACAAACAATAAAGAAAAAAGTTTGAAACCATATGATTGTCACTTACACCTAATTAAATACACCTTGTGTAGAATTGAAAAAATTGGTTGACATTATAATTTTCCATTTTTGTCAGTTTGTGAAAAAATTTTTATTTTGAACAAAATCAAACAAAGTGTTATTTGGATTTCAAAAAAACAAAGACTTGCTGCAAGTAAACTCGCCTAATCTAAATTTGGACTTTGTGAAAAAATTTTTATTTTGAACAAAATCAAACAAAGTGTTATTTGGATTTCAAAAAAAAAAAAACATTTTAATTATAAATCATTTTATCACCTGAAAAAAGTCAGAGACTGGGATAGGGTAAATTCAGATACACCACTATTATTTCAAACCAGTAAGGAAAGTTCAAAAGTAGGACGGGACCGACAATATGATACTCTTCACAACTTTGGGTACATACAAGAGATGCAAATACATATATACAATATCTGGTAAATAGACAGACTTCGCATCTTTGAAGGTCCATTGAATTGGTATTGGGCGAAATTGGTATTGGTATTGGGAGTAGAGATATATTAATTTTAAGTAGGAAGATTTGACACCACATGAGAAATGTGGTATACCCAGAATATTCGCCCGGGCAGCCCCCCCTGCATACGTCCCTGCCCAATTTTCTGGGGGTTTTGGCGTTTTTAGTGCACTTTGCAAACGAAATCGCAGTATATTGTTACTTCGAGTTTATATGGGATACTAAATCTCCCCACTTTTTCGTGTACACCAAATATAAATTTACCTTCAAAATTTTGGCATTTTGGAAATTGGACACGTTTTTCAACCGAAATTGTTGTTGCGTGGTAAATATAAAAGGGGGAATAAAAACAATATCCCCAAAAAATCACGATTAGTTTTTAGTTTCAAAGTATAAAGGCAGAAGCCGAGGTTTATTGATTGAAATTAGAAAAAAAAAAATATTATTATCTGGTTGCAAATCGAAAGATTTGACAAAAACAAATTCAGCAATCAAAACATGATTGCTGACAGTGGCCTTTGCCCAATTCGCCACTCGTTGAAATCTGTTGACATTTGACAGATTTCAGCGGTGCTCTAAATGACTAGGTAGCCTATTGTAACGTATGGTAACAAAGAAAAAACATTAATTTAATATCTAAATTAAACAATTGTAATTTGGTATTTTGGATTCCCATTTGGAACGAAACCCTTCTTCTGAAAATTATCAATATCGGTCCACTTTTGGCAAGTTTTCCAATCGAAATGGCTGCAATTTGGTATGTTGGGTTTTATTTGGGTACCAAATCCTGCCGCCAAAAATCTTTAATATTACTCCTATTTAATTAGGTAAAACCTAATTAAATAGGAGTAATATTAAACGAATTTGTGGTAAGTTGGCTTTTTGAATCCAATTGCCCATTTTTGGAGGTAATACCTATATAACTTCATATGTGTTACTGTATTCCACCATAATATGGCGGATATTCTGTGCTCAAAACTCTCAGTTTATATCACACAAAGTATGGAATTCTAAGACGATTTAGACATTTCCGTCCGTCTGCACATCTGTTTTAATCATACTATCTTCGGAGGATATCGAAATAGGAAACAAAAACGTCTGGTTTAAAAATGTGATATAGTGATACGTCCCGATTTTCAGCATTTTAAATATTAAGCTTGAAGAAAAATATCGAGATACAAAACTAAAAGTTTAGGTGCGCAAATGAGCTATATCGGTCATCATTTAGACATTCCCCTATGTGATTATTCCCAATTTTTTGGTCTTTCTATAAGAGGTAACCAATATTGGTGTCCCTTTTAGGTATAGCCTATTATAGCTTTGCCCTCTAAATTGTAGTATTTGTGACGATCCACCCTTCTGGTTATATCTCCTCTAGAGTTTGCTACCTTCTGGTCCCGGTCGTGATAAGTCTTTGAAGATAGAGTCGGATATGTAGGCATACAAGTAAAGTTTTAAGGTAGCTTTTGTTATGTATGTGTGTGAATAGAAATGTAGATATGTGTTTGTGTGGGAGCGCTGTAAATGGCGTTAATTTATTGGGAGGAACATGAGATATAAGTGCGTTATTCCCAGTTCTCTACCCACCCTTCCTGCTGACATTTCATTTTTCCATCAGGCCTAATGTATCTCCTACTCGAACTCCTTCCCCTTTCGCGGCATAATAATTTGGAACTTTCATTTTAAATAAGGGGCAGGGTAACTCATTTTCACTTGTTTCTATTTGTTTCGAATTTACTGTAAGTCAAAATGGTCATTTATATATTATTGTCGGGTATATAATACTAAAAATCACAAAAATTAATTATATTCTAAGGACTTTTTAATACATGCGTGCTTGAATGGGTTAAAAACAACCCCCAATCGTTCTGTCAACTGTTATAAACTTTTATAATTTAGTCGTCGCTCGACACTCTACAAAGTGCTGTTATTTTTCTATTAACTGTGAGTATTTTTTAAAAAATCAAATATTTTTAAGTTCAAAAAGTATTTATTTTGTTTAAAATAATGTGAAAAAGCTAAGGCTAAACAAAATTAATGCGATTTGTTTAAAAAAGTGATACAAGATCAATTTATAATGAGTGTTTTTTTGAGTGAAATCCTTTGGTGAATACATTCATGGTGTGTCGTGCAGAAAACAATCTAAAACATGTAAACAATAAAACAAATTCACAATATATACAGAAATATATTAAAGTCGATTTTTTTAGAAAAAAACATTTTTAAATTTAAAGAAATTCTATTAAATATAATTCTTTTTTGAAAATTTAATTTTTCCTTCAAAACATTATTTGTTCCATTCGTGTGTATCCAGTGAAAATTTTATAAGTGTTATACTTAACCCCCAATTATGGGGGAGGCTGCAAATAAAAAAAACAACCCCAAAAAATGGGGGATGATGGTAAAGTGTTATACAATTTGACAGCTGTCAATATCATATGATTGGTCATAACATTACAGCTGTTGCAACAGCTGTTATCCGGCAAACAACAATTTATCAGCTGTTGTACAACCTGTTAGATTGACACGTGTTGCATCTTGCCAATAAATGTAAACAAACTTAACTGTTATACTGGCACAGCTGATAAATGTAAACATAAATAGAAATTCCACAAGTTGCCGGTTGGCTGGCCGGCCGGCCGGTTAAATCAGCTGTTGCAAAGGAAATGTGTATTATTATTTATCGGCATAACTACACTGAGAAAATGTTTGATTTTAAGAAATATATATTTATTAAAAATATAAAAATTTTAAGGATTGTTGTTGTAAATTTTATGTCTAGTATAGATTTGTTAGAGTGAACTTTAAAAAGTATAGGGAACAAAGTAGTTAATTCATTTTTGTAATTACATTTTAATTTTAAATTTGGGATATCTATTTGTCCAGGTCTAATATACTCATTGAAATTGACAATATTGTGTGTTCCCAATAGATGTGGAAACCACATCCACGAAAATGTTCAATTTTTTGCCGGACAGATAAGTATGACTAATTTAAAATTTAAAAAGTAATAAAAAAGGTGGAAATACACTTTTGTCCCTACCTTTACCATTGGGCGCCAGTTTTAAATGTCCGTACATATATTTTATTTATCAAAATTATTATTATTAATTTTTTAAATATAATTTTAGTATTTTTTCCAGATAATCAACTTCCTAACGAATCAACCTGCCAACCTCTAAACTGATTATGAAAGTCCGATTACCTGATTGAATGAGTGAACAATTGCGAATACGTCGCTTAGGTGGTCGTAGTAAAACGCTTTCTGCCACAAATTTGGCACCCATTAATACAAGTAATAGCAGTGGACTCGTAACTGGTGGTAGTGGTGGTGGTGGCGGCGGAGGAACGGCCATAACACCCAATATTATCAGCCACAGTGCTAGCAGTAATTTTTTGCAACAATATTTTCGTCATCATCCACAGCATACGACACAGGCTCAATATTTTACCTTTAATCATACGGATAGTCCACGGGGGACACAAAATCAATCTCCGTTACAGCAGCAGCAGCAGACACAGACGCCACATAACGCAGCATCGGCAACCGCAAATAATTATGGCATTGAACCCAGTCCAACGGTTGTAAATTCCGCTAGTGGTAGTGGCAGTGGTAGTAGTGGTCTACGTATGCCCAATATGGGACCTATGCTGGGAACATCGGCCACTGTTGCCATTAATAACAGTTATACTGCTTATAATGCCACTAATCAGGGACAGGGTGGCTCCACCGGTGGCGGTGCCGGTCACAATAATGGTTCCGGTGTTACAGCCGGCCAGCTTGGCAGTGCCTCGGCGGCCCAGGCACAAGCGGCAACGACAAGTGGCACAACAGCTACTTCGGGAGTTGGTGGCGTCGGCGGCGGCGTAGGTGGTATCGGCTCATCCGGCTTGGCCGGTAATATGGGCGGCGTCGGTATGGGCATTTGTGGCGGTATTAGTAGTAATGCTGCTGTCATTACTGGGGTGCCGCCAATAGGACTTGGACTTGCAACCGGTATTGGCAATAAAATGCTCGGTCGCAAGCAAAGTCTGAAGGGCGGCGAACCATTTCTAGCCGATTATGGTCCCGAGGAGTCGCTTAACGAAAGTGCCGATATTGAATGGGTGAATAAACTGTGGGTAAGACGCCTAATGCGATTTTGCGCTTTAGTTGCCTTGGCCTCAGTCTCATTGAATACTCCAAAAACTTTCGAACGCGAACCATCCCTGCAGTATATAACATTCGTATCGGACATAGCGGTAACGCTACTATTTACCGCTGAAATGATAGCCAAAATGCACATACGCGGCGTATTACACGTGAGTACCCACACATACACATGTACACAGAGAGATGCAATGTATTTGGTGGAAATTTGGAGCAGGGAGGTTTTGATATATCGTCAAGGGGGGCAGAGGGGTTGTAAGGTCACATGGAGGCATAAGATATTGCTGAAAACAATAGATAACTGCCATTATTGAAAAACAATGGCAATTGTCTTGTTATACCATGCAATAACTTACGCCATCATTGAAGTTGCACCCATCCCAATGTATTCACATTAGAATTGGCAAATATTGCATATCCGAATGGAGAAAGGAAGAGGCTTATTCAACTATAGTTTCCATTCCCCATAAGGACAACATTCAAAACCCATATTTTATACCCAACCGGAATACAGATGCTTTTCCACAGATATATCAAACTAAACCAATGAGCCATCATGCATGTGCATTCATGTTTTGTTGATACAGAGTTGTATTTTTGTTGTTGAATTTTTCAAATAATCTAACCTCAAACCTGTATATGATTATCAACAACCTACCTAGGGTGAAGTACCGTATCTAAAGGATCACTGGTGCCAATTTGATTTTTCTATGGTATTCTTTTTATGGATTTCCATAATCTTACAAATATTTGAAATACTTGAAATTGTGCCAAAGTAAGTATTCCCACGTCCGGAAAGTATTCCCACTTTGAAAATGGAAATAAAAAGTCGAACAATGGAATTTTTATGGTCTAATATTTTCTTGTTGTTATTAAATTTTTTTCATAGATTTTCTTCCCTATCCATGATGAGAGCTCCCCGACCCCTGATAATGATACGCTTTCTTAGAGTCTTCCTGAAATTTTCAATGCCAAAGAGTCGCATCAATCAAATCTTCAAGTAAGTTCATATACCTCATCGTTGAATTACGAATCTAATAAAAAAATATCTCCAATCCTCCCCCTAACCAGGCGTTCGAGTCAACAAATCTACAATGTAACCCTATTTTTCCTGTTCTTTATGTCACTTTATGGCCTTATGGGTGTTCAATTTTTCGGTGAATTGAAAAACCATTGTGTCATGAATAACAGTGTCTATGATAAGCATGGTAGACCGTAAGTTTGGATATAATTTTGAAAACAAAAAAAGAAGAAGCTACATTGGATATTTTTCGGTTTTTAGTATATTAACATTAAATTCATTGGCCATACCGGATACATTTTGTTCCATGGACCCGGATTCGGGTTATCAGTGTTCACCGGGCATGAAATGCATGAAATTGGATTTTCTCAGTAGCTATGTGATTGGTTTCAATGGCTTTGAAGATATAGCCACAAGTATTTTTACGGTTTATCAAGCTGCATCCCAGGAGGGTTGGGTATTTATTATGTATCGCGCCATCGATTCGCTGCCAGCATGGAGAGCTGCATTCTATTTCAGGTATGTATGTGAATAATAAATAACCTAGCGTAAATGAAGATTTGGATGGGGGTTTCGCCTGTGAGGATTTTTTCAAGATTAATTGCGTGGTAATGGAATTCATTCTACCATAATATAAATACAGAATTGCTTTTAGGTAGACTGGATTCCAATTTTTTGAATCGAAGATGGAATCATAAATGTATGTGGCTGCGCAAACTAGGTCATTCATATAGTTCCATAGTTTATTTAGTTCAATTGTTCATTGGCAAACGTCAGATATAATGAATAGAACGAGGACCAAAAGGCAGAACTGAAGCAATATAAACTAGATGGACGTAAGAACCGGACCTTATACCGATAGTTCCTTTTAGTGAATAGTTTCATTGAACTTGTTCGGAACGATCCAACTCTATTATTATGTTTCTTCGTGCTTTTGAAGCCCAAGTAATTTTCGTTATCGTTTTACTCATTGTCAGAGTACGGAACTTATAAACTTCTACAGCTCTAGGTGTCTTTATCTCCGACGCTTTAATCCTCGTTTTCTACTTTGTTGGAATATGGAACTCAAGAATTTTAACAGAAAGAGGGAACGACAAGAGAAAAAAGAATTGGACCAAATACCGATCGTTCCTTTTACGGAAAAGTTTTGTTCAACTAGGATTATTTTTCTGCTGATTCTGAAGCTCAAGTGGCTTTCTTCTTAGTTTCGGAATACGGGACTCACAAACCCCGAAACATATTTTGCATTCTTCAAGTTTCTACAGCTGAAAGGGTCTTAATCTCCGTTTAATATTACCAATGTAAAGATGCTTCAAGCGCTGCAACGGGCATTTAGGTGAAATTAATGATCCATCTGAACAGTCTTTATGGGGGTGCAGGAACTCAAGCTATATAAATATTGTCGTCTATGCATTGTGATGGTTAATATGTTCTGAGGAAGGTTCAGCATAGCATTCCTAGTGTACCACTCCGATCGATACATATCCATTTCGCTTGACATATACTCGGAACTAGGTCATTCATTTAGTTCCATAGTTCTTTTTAGTTAAATCGTTCATTGCTACACGTCAGTTAAATCAAAACGAACAGGATAAAAAGGAATTAGATGAATGAAAGATCCGGATCTAGTACATATCGTTTCGTTTGCGGAATAGTTCCGCTGAATTAGTTCATTCCGTAATGATCCTAACGTTGGATGATCAATTATGTGTTTGGGCGCCAGTCGCAGATAAAGAAACTTTATTGGCCTCTTACAAAGCGATAGGTCGGCCTGTGTTCAAATATGTGGAGCCTGTGTGATGCGCGAATACGAGAGCTACACAATGGGAAATTATTCAGACCTTATGACACCGATGGACCATAGACGATTCTTCCACTACGTCACATAGTAATTGACTTTCATTGAAGTAACTTCTAGGGTGTTTCAGAGAGACCCGTTCATCTACCAAAGGTGGATGGAACTCAGGTGTGTCGGGAAAAATCTGCATGATCTAGAATGAAAGGTTCAAAGATATTAAGAAAACCTGTAGATTATGAAGTCTATAGAATGTTGCCGAAATGGGGTGTCATTGGATGTTTGGCCTCTTGCATGGCAAAATATTGGTCTATGGACAGCTACGTTGCAACTGTGTGGTTTGCGAATAATAGTGCTGCGCAATTGAGAGTTAATCCGACGAAAAGACGAAGATTCATTAACGCCAGCATTGAAATATCTTTACGTTTTAACCTTCAAATGGTGGATAGAACCCAACTCGCGTGGGTCTGGAAAAATGTGCATGATTTAGAGTGAAAAAAGGAGTTTCAAAGGTAATTGCCAGGTTAGAAATAGCATGGCGACCAATAACAGTTTGGGTTTTCAGTGTCGTTTCTTTATCCCTGTTCCATGGTTGGGAAATATAGTGGCATTTTTCCATTTTGAGATTGATCCAGAAGCAGACTAAATTAAAGAAGAAAAAGCAACAATATCTGCTACAAAAATAACATTTAGTTAGAAGAGAGAGAAAGAGAGTCTGTCATATGATTTGTGTGCACATAACATCGGAATCCTAGTCTCGAGAGGTATTCATAATTTTATTTCTGTACTAACAGTAGAAGAAGAGGCAGAGGAGTAGTAAAATGGCGCCCAATTATTTTTGGTTTGTTAGTGTCCATATCCCATAGAAATAGATTCAGAAGCAGAGTGAATTAAATGAGAGAATATGTAGAGTCAGAAGATTTGAATGTAAATAAAATCGGATTTTTATTCTTTGGGAGGAGCTAATTTTTGGTATTTCGGGACCTTCTCTCGATGAAGGGACTTAAATTCTCAAAACTCAAAATCGGCAAATGGCTTCCAATTATATATTGCCAGGCTCCATTCATTGTTAATGTTTGGACGTTGTAGTTTTGGAGATGACTGCTATGACTTCGATCCGAATGAGATTAACTGATGGTCTTGCTCCAATCGCGAAATTCGCTGTATTGAGAACGATTTTAATATATAGAATACATTGTTTCAGGCCTTTGTTGCATCTATAGGCACTTATGTCTTCAGAGAAGTTATCCTCAAATTAGCTATAGCCCATCATTATAGCCCGATGGATGAAGGATGTCTTCAGTGTCCTATTAAGGAGTTGAATACAATTACATTATCTCCAATTTTTATTTATTTATAATTATTTCCCCCTTTTCCCTAGCACCATGATTTTCTTCTTGGCGTGGTTGGTGAAGAACGTTTTCATTGCTGTGATTACGGAAACCTTCAATGAGATACGTGTACAATTCCAACAGATGTGGGGAGCGCGAGGTCATATTCAAAAAACAGCTGCCTCCCAGATACTCAGTGGAAACGATCAAGGATGGCGTTTGGTCACCATTGATGATAGTAAACATGGTGGCTTGGCACCGGAAACATGTCATGCCATATTGAGATCACCCTATTTTCGAATGTTGGTAATGTCGATCATATTGGCAAATGGTATTGTTACGGCCACAATGACATTTCAACATGATGGTCGACCGCGTCATGTCTTCTATGAGAGATATTATTATATTGAGGCCGTGTTTACATTCCTGCTGGATTTGGAGACTCTATTTAAAATCTATTGTTTGGGATGGCGTGGCTACTATAAACATTCGATACATAAATTTGAATTGTTGCTGGCTGTGGGCACAACCATTCACATTGTGCCGTATTTTTATCTATCGGGATTTACGTATTTTCAGGTGAGTTGAAACGATCGATTTCCAATTTTTTGCCTTTTCTTACAATTTTTGCCTTTTCTTTTTAGGTTCTTCGCGTTGTACGCTTGATAAAGGCCTCACCCATGCTAGAAGGTTTTGTTTATAAAATCTTTGGTCCTGGCAAGAAATTGGGTTCCCTCATCACCTTTACCGTCTGCTTGCTGATCATAAGTTCCAGTATCTCTATGCAGTTGTTCTGCTTCCTTTGCGACTTTACCAAATTCGAAACCTTCCCCGAAGCCTTTATGTCTATGTTCCAAATTCTAACCCAGGAGGCCTGGGTTGAGGTTATGGACGAGACAATGATACGTACCAGTAAAACTCTAACCCCCTTGGTGGCCATATATTTTATACTCTATCACTTGTTCGTAACCCTTATTGTGCTAAGTTTGTTCGTGGCGGTTATTTTGGATAACTTGGAATTGGATGAGGACATCAAGAAATTGAAGCAACTTAAATTCCGCGAACAAAGTGCAGAAATTAAGGAGACTCTACCATTCCGCCTAAGGATATTCGAAAAATTCCCCCAATCTCCGCAAATGACAATACTCCATCGAATTCCGAATGATTTCACCCTGCCCAAGGTGCGAGAATCTTTTATGAAACAATTTGTCATCGAACTGGAAAGTGATGATCCCTCAATGGAAAGTTGTAAACGTCCAATATCCGAATATTGGGAATCGAAAATGGTATTTCGTAAACAAAAACCCGTGAGAATTATGAATAAAACGGCAAAGGTCCGCTCGGCTGGTAGTAGTTTAAGGAAATTGGCCATAACCCATATCATCAAGTAAGTACTGGAGTGGAATGGAAACGACTAGTCGGGGAAGTTTTGGGCATTAAAGTTCGGTTTTCAATTCTTTAAGTGATTCCAATAATCAACGTCTGATGTTGGGCGATTCGGCCATGCTGCCAGTGGTTGGTGGAAAATGCGGTTTGAAATCTCAGGGTACCATAACACATTCGAAGCCGTGGAGAGTGGATCAAAAGAAGTAAGTTGATAGTTTTAAGTACTCAAAATTCCTTAAGAAAATTGTATTCATTAATAATCGGATATGTCATGAGATATAAAAATTAAAATTTCAAATTGGAGTTCTGAAGCCTGTCGGAGGCTTGCTGTGCTACATATATTTTTCGTCGAATTTTGTGGAGGCAGTGCGTTAAGCTGTTGACACTCGTCGTATTTTGAAGATTCTCGGACCTGTCAAAAATTATTCGCAGTTGTCAGCGTTTTGAAAGTTTGGGGTTAGGGTTCTATTTTGAAAAAAAAAATCACATAGCCTTCATATAAATATGTCCTCCCATTTCAAGTATTTTCAGGGTTGGTTAAGAACTTCTTCGCCGAATGTTGTCAATATAGGTCCATTTTATGACATAGCTCTCATATTAAGGTACATCACCATTTAAAGAATGTTCGAATTTCTAGCCCAATATTTCTATATGAGTCGTTGTTAGTGGTTATATTCTAATTTAGCCCTGTCTGGTACTAGAAAGGGGGCTTTATAGTGGGATTTATTTATATTTATCAGAAAATTGTGGTAGGTGTCCCTACCGAAACGAAAAAATATATGAATTATATGTATCCGTTGGGCGCCACAAATTTTTAATTACTCAATCTGTATTCGTACGTAATTTTTCTTGGGTGCCATATCGGGACAGAACGGCGGATGACCCTTAAATTTTCACGTTTCGACCTAAATCGCGTTGGTTTGAGCCGATGTGTGAGAGATTTGGTGCACAATGATACCCCTTCTTTCGAATTTCTCCGAAGGCTGCAGTCAAAAAAATTGTGGTGTATAACTTAGTATTCATGAAGCGGAACAGTCGCCCCATTTAAAGTTTTTCAATGAAATAGCGGAACAGTCACCCCATTAACAGTTTTTACAATGAAATAGCATCATAAACGCCGACCTTTCATTGGATTTGACTCATCTTCAAAGGGTCTACGCATAGATCTATGATTCGGCAGATGTGTCGTTAACTTCCGCCGAACTTTTAAGGAGCATATGCCATGGTTAATTTTGGGCAGGAAATTTTTGTATATAAAATTACAGACAATTCGGTTAAAAATGTGACCTAAAATAGCGAATAATACTGGGTCCCGTTGTATGGCGCCCAACCTCGAAACATGAGGTAGTATTGATAAAGTTAGGTATGGAGATTTTAAACCATTGACGATGTAAAATACCAAATTGCAGGCAAATCGGTTGAAAAATGCTCCATAAATCAGGAAGACACCGACATTTGGTAGATGCTGCTGTCCTAGAAAGTGGACCAATATTTATATTCCTTGTTAGGAAGATTTGCTATCCTAAAATACTAAATTATTGCCAATTTGGTTGAAAAACGTCCCCAACATTACGAATAATAGGGGGTATATGGCGCCCAACTCGAAACTTGAAGAAATGTTGATAATAATTACCAGGACGATTTACTTCCCAATAAGAACCCAAAATAACAGATTACAGTCTATTTGTATATAAAATTACAGACAATTCGGTTAAAAATGTGACCTAAAATAGCGAATAATACTGGGTCCCGTTGTATGGCGCCCAACCTCGAAACATGAGGTAGTATTGATAAAGTTAGGTATGGAGATTTTAAACCATTGACGATGTAAAATACCAAATTGCAGGCAAATCGGTTGAAAAATGCTCCATAAATCAGGAAGACACCGACATTTGGTAGATGCTGCTGTCCTAGAAAGTGGACCAATATTTATATTCCTTGTTAGGAAGATTTGCTATCCTAAAATACTAAATTATTACCAATTTGGTTGAAAAACGTCCCCAACATTACGAATAATAGGACGATTTACTTCCCAATAAGAACCCAAAATAACAGATTACAGTCTATTTGGTTAAAAAAGTGTCCAAAATCTCCAGTATACCCCATGAGAATTCGAAATATTAAATTTCAGCCAATTTTGTTGTAAAATGTTCCCCAACTCCCCCAAAATACCGGAAATTAGGGGGTATCGTAACATGGCGCCCAACCTGAAACTTGGGTAATATTGGTCTTTAGAGAGAAATTTGGAACCCAATTTGAATCTGAAATAGAAATTACAGCTAAATTGGTTGGAAAACGTGACAAAACTCTTCAAAATGTCAAAGCTTTAAATATTCCGAGGTCTATCTATCGATTTCAACAGACAGACAGTCGGATATTGTCAAATCGAGATCGAGCGTCACATTGGCGCCCAATGAGTTAACATTCGTTTTCAAATTCCATAACCCCCACAAAATAAGTCATTTCTATACGTCTCCTTTCTCATTGTTACATTCTTATTGAAGACCTCCCACTCGCACCCCAAATTGGAAAATTGTTTCCCCCCACCACCCACTCCAAACCAAGTTTCGGCTTCTCCGAACTTAACGTAGTTTAGTACTTTGCAAATATAAATTAATATTTCACAGATTTGGATCACGTTCCATTCGACGTAGCGTACGATCGGGTTCAATAAAACTGAAGCAGACCTATGAACATCTGATGGAAAATGGTGACATTGCATCGGCGCCAAGGGCAAATTCAGGCAGAGCCAGACCACATGATTTGGATATCAAATTGTTGCAGGCGAAAAGGCAACAGGCTGAAATGAGACGTAACCAACGGGAAGAAGATTTGCGTGAGAATCATCCATTTTTCGATACTCCATTGTTTTTGGTGCCACGAGAAAGTCGTTTTCGTAAGATTTGTCAGAAAATTGTCCATGGGCGCTATGATGCCCGGCTAAAGGATCCACTGACGGGCAAGGAACGTAAGGTCCAATATAAAAGTTTGCAGTAAGTTCGAAGTTTTTGTTTGTTTTTATTTCCTTCCGAAGAATATTCTAAAATGAACAATTTCGTTGCAGCAACTTCTTGGGCCTGGTAACCTATCTGGATTGGGTAATGATATTCGTCACCACTCTTTCCTGCATTTCAATGATGTTCGAGACACCCAATGATAGGGTTATGGATCATCCCACATTGCAAATTGCCGAATACACCTTTGTCATTTTTATGAGCCTGGAACTGGCTTTGAAAATCTTAGCGGATGGTCTATTCTTTACCCCCAAAGCCTATATCAAAGATGTGGCAGCCGTTTTGGATGTTTTTATATACATTGTTTCCACTTTATTCCTCTGCTGGATGCCGAAACAAGTACCCACCAATTCTGCTGCCCAACTGCTAATGGTTTTACGTTGCATACGCCCGCTGAGAATATTCACCTTGGTACCGCATATGCGTAAGGTGGTCTATGAATTATGTCGTGGCTTTAAGGAAATCCTTTTGGTATCCACTCTCCTGATATTGCTGATGTTCATCTTTGCCAGTTATGGTGTTCAGCTGTATGGTGGCCGTTTGGCACGTTGCAATGATCCGACAATAACAAGACGTGAAGATTGTGTTGGCGTATTTATGCGTCGTGTGTTCGTAACAAAAATGAAATTGACCCTGGGTGAAGGTGAATCCTTTCCGGCGATGTTGGTACCACGTGTATGGGCAAATCCACGACGATTTAATTTCGATAATATCGGTGATGCTATGTTGACACTGTTCGAGGTGCTGTCATTCAAAGGATGGCTGGATGTTCGAGATGTATTGATAAAAGCTGTTGGACCGGTAAGTTGTGAGAAATTTTGATTTGTTTTATTGGTTACTAGCATATGCCCGCAACTTCGTTAGCGAATGTAGGAAACATTTAATAATGTATTAACATATTATTTTATTTTTAGATAGAACTGCATATGGCTGAAAAAACAATTCACACATTAATATCGAACATAAATTAAATTTGAGTATCATTTAGTACCAAATTTCATGATTCGAGCTCTAAGGGTTCACCCAAATCCAAATTTTAACAAATTTTCATTTAGAACACATTATTTCCATAAGTACCCTCCTCAACCAATGATTCCGAATTCAAATTTCAGGATTCCAACTCTACTAATTCACCCACAATTGAAATTGTACCGAATTTAGTAGTAGAATTTCCAAAACTTCCTACTTAACCCAAACCTACACCCCGACAGTGATTTTAAATTCAAGTTTCAGGATACCAACTCCATAGGTTCACCCACAATTCAAATTGTACCAAATTTAGTACACAGTAGTATGAATTTCCAAAATATAAGTTTCAGGATTCCAATTCTATCGGTCCATCCACAATTCAAATTATACCAAATTTTGTACACAGCAGTGCCAAAATTCACCCACCACTATTGGCACACCCATACCTCAAATTCTACCAAATTTGGTACATAGTTGTACACAGTGATCCTAAATCGAGGTTTCAGGATTCCGACTTTATCGGTTGACCCACAATTCAAATTGTACCAAATTTAGTACACAGTAGTACGAATTTCCAAAATTTCCTGCTTAACCCAAACCAACACCCCACAGTGATCCTAATTCTACCGGTGATTCTACCGGTTCACCCACAATTCAAATTGTACCAAATTTAGTACACAGTAGTACGAATTTCTAAAACCTCCTTCCATCCACAAACCTACACCCCCATAGTGATCCTAAATCCAAGTTTCAGGATTCCAACTATATCGTTTCAATCACAATTAAAATGTACCAAATTTAGTACACAGTAGTACGAATTTCCAAAACTTCCTATATACCCCAATTCTACACCTCCACAGTGATCCTAAATCAAAATTAGAGGATTCCAACTCTATTACCCACAATTCAAATTGTACCAAATTTAGTACACAGTAGTACCAATTTCCAAAACTTCCTACATACCCCAATCCTACACCCCCACAATGATACTAAATTCAAGCTTTAGGATTCCAACTCTTCGGTTCACCCACAATTCAAATTGTACTAAATTTAGTACATAGTAGTACCAATTTCCAAATCTTCCTACATACACCAATCCTACACCTCCACAGTGTTCATAACTCAAAAGTTCAAGATTCCAACTCTTTCGGTTCACCCAAACTATCAAATCGTACTAAATTTAGTACATAGTAGTACCCATTTCCAAACCCTCCTACATACCCCAATCCTACACCTCCACAGTGATCCTAAATCAAAATTTCAGGATTCCAACTCTATCGCTTCACCCACAATTTAAATTGTACCAAATTTAGTACACTTAGTACAAATTTCTAAAACTTCCTACATACCCCAACCCTACACCCCCACAGTGATCCCAAATCCAAGTTTCAGGATTCCAACTCTATCGGTTCACTCGCAATTCAAATTGTACCAAATTTAGTACACATTAGTACAAATTTCTAAAACTTCCTGCATATCTCAATCTTACACCTCAACAGTCATCCTGGCTCCAAATTTCATGATTCTAGCTCCATTGGTTCATCTAAAATTCAAATTGAACCAAATTTAGTACCATTTAGTACCCATAAGTATTATTTTCGTAAACTGAATCTTGACCCCAATCCCACACCCATACAGTGATCCTGACTCCAAATTTTATTGTTCCCGCTCTATAGGATCACCCAAATCCAAACTGTCCCGATTATAGAACGATTTAGTACTTTTCGTACACATAAGTAACAAATTTCCAAAACTACGTTCATATCCCAATCCTACACTCTGACGGTAATTTTAATTTCAAATTCCAGGATTCCACCTCGATTTGTACCTCCAAATCAAATTTGTACCAAATATAGTACCATATAGTACTTTTCGTACACATGAGTACACGCTTTCCAAACTCTCCTCATATCGACCCTAATTGTCAACCTTAATTTGCATTCCCAATTTCAAGTTTTTAGCTCAATCCATTCAAATGCTACGAAATTGTACCAAATTTAGTACATTTCAGTACTTTTCCGATACTTATAGTTCGAATTTCCGAAAAATGCCTTTGCTACATCTATTCTACACTCCATCAGTGACCCTAAATCCAAATTTCAGATTTCTAGCTCAACTGGTTCGCCAAATACAAATGATACCATATTTAGTACTTTTCGTACGGTTCTAGTACGAATTTCCAAAAACCCAGCCTTATCTGCCACCTTTGGACTAAGAGTGACACTCACCCAAAATTTCAAGATTCTAGCTTCAGCCGTTTCGCCTGGGCGTTGATGAATCGTTAAATCAGTCAGTCAATCACTTTACTCTTTTATTAGTATAGATTAAATTTGTACCACATATAGTACCATATAGCACTTTTCGTACACATGAGTAAGCGCATTCAAAACCATCTCCTTAAATGGACCCTACATCTCAACCTTAATTCACACTCCAAATTTCAAGTTTTTAACGCTATCCGTTCACATGCTACAGAATTGTACCAAATTTAGTACACTTTCGTACTTTTTGGATAGTTATAGTTCGAATTTCCAAGAACCCTTTGGCACATCTATCCTACACTCCATCAACGACCACCAAAGCAAATTTCAGAGTTCTAGCTCCACCGGTTCGCCAAATACAAATGGTATCACATTTAGTACTTTTTAGTACTTTTCGTACCGTTATAGTACGAATTTCCAAAAACCCAGCCTTATCTGTCGCATTTGGACCCAGAGTGATCCTCACCCAAAATTTCAAGATTCTAGCTTCAGCCGTATCGTCTGGGCGTTGATGAATCGTTAAATCAGTCAGTCAGTCAATCACTTTACTCTTTTTTTAGTATAGATAAAGGTGTCGTGCGAGATTTTAAAAACATAGATTATCCTCATTGGTTATCATAACTTCCCAGCAAAAACGATCAATAATGGTCGGCTTCGGGCATGACCTGTTAAGTTGGCATTATATGTCAATTTATAAAGGAATATCAGATTCAAACTTGATTTTGAACGCCGTTCTTCTTTATTCTCTTACAATAAAAGAAGCCAACTTAACAAGTCATGCCTGAAGTCCTCTTCTGTGTTTCCCCTTAAGTCAGTCAATCACTTTAAAATGTTCCTTTAAAACTATGTCTATGTTCGTATTCGTAATGCTAATAAAATATTCCAATTTTTTTTATTTTCAGATTCAAGCCGTTTACATTCACATCTATATTTTCTTGGGTTGTATGATTGGTCTTACCCTGTTTGTGGGTGTGGTTATTGCCAATTATTCGGAGAATAAAGGTACAGCTCTACTCACGGTCGATCAAAGACGTTGGTGTGATTTGAAGAAGAGATTGAAAATTGCTCAACCGCTGCATTTGCCACCTCGGCCGGATGGTCGTAAAGTTCGGGCATTCGCTTACGATGTGACACAACATATTTACTTTAAACGTTTCATAGCGGCAATTGTTTTGATTAACAGTGCACTGTTATCGATAACGGTAAGGACGATAAACATCTCAAATTATTTAATTTTAATAATTATTCTTTTGTACTTAACAGTGGATCAAAGGTGAAAGCATAACGGAAATTTGCATTCTACTAAGTGTCACATTGACATTTGTCTTTGTGGTAGAGGTGGTTATGAAAATTATCGCATTTACACCACGTGGCTATTGGCAATCGAGACGTAATCGTTATGATTTGTTGGTAACGGTTTCCGGTGTTGTTTGGATATTTTTGCAAACTATTTTGAGGGTAATATGACATTTTGAATGCGGTATTCTATAAAATGAAATATTAAAAATTGTGTTGTGTTTTTTTTGTAGAATGACTTGTCCTACTTCTTTGGTTTTATGGTGGTGATTTTAAGATTTTTCACCATTACCGGAAAACACACCACATTGAAAATGTTGATGTTAACAGTCGGTGTGTCTGTTTGCAAATCGTTCTTCATTATATTTGGCATGTTTTTGTTGGTATTCTTTTATGCCTTGGCTGGAACGATATTGTTTGGTAAGTAGGAAATCTGAGGAAAAAAAGCTATGCAGCAATGTTTTGGGGTGAAAAATCCGTGATTAATTTTTTCTCGATAACTGACAAGTCCTTTAAGAAAATGATCTATATCTTTGTTTGCGACTATTGCCGATTATTATTAAGACATGTCTGTATGTCTGTGTCTTTTCGTTATTATTTTCTTAAACTTTAAACTAAATACCCGAACATCAGATTTTTTGACCGTTAAATCTGCTCATAAGATTCGAAACAGCTCTAGGTCAAGGTTTTTGAAATCTCCAACAGCATGTTATTGCGCTGACAATCGTTGGCCACACATTTTTCCTGATGTGCCGGATTAAAAAAGTTATTGTTTACCGAGCTGTTCGGTGGATGTAATTTGGTATTTTGGGGTTTTATTGGATCAAAAATCTCACTGGTATTATGTATTCGCTTTTCTCTACTAATAATTATCAACATTGACCAAGGATCCAGCATAGACCCCATATAACACTACCCTTCATCATTCCCGATAACTATGTATTGGTGATCTCTAATAACGCTACTCAGAGTACCGGATAAGAAAATTTTAATACTAAAAACCCAATGGCGCCCAATGTTGATAATATCAATAGCAGTTTAAAATGAATATGAAGGATATCACACATTTCTTCATTATTACTAGTTTTTTCTTTTTCAATGTGGATACGAATATGGCGCCCAATGACATATATTATTTGGAGACAGCTTTATGGTATTTATAGTGAGCTTAGCTTTTATTAAAATGTCTTCCCCTGAAGATTGGGGTTTAAATAGTTCCGTGAAAAAAATTAGCTCTCTCCTGATTAATAGTAATTGTTTGCTTATCTCTTCCTGTTTATTTGTAGATCGAGATTTGTGTCTATTTATTCTAATAATACTTGTAGTTACAATTTATCCTGGCTCCTCGATTTACAACTAAATTTTTTCGTTATTATTTACTGTTACTAAAATTGATATTTTCCTTTTTAAAATTCTCTAGGTACTGTAAAATATGGCGAAGGCATTGGACGCAGAGCAAATTTTGGTTCTCCGGTGACAGGTGTTGCCATGCTGTTTCGTATCGTTACCGGTGAAGATTGGAATAAAATTATGCACGATTGTATGGTCCAGCCACCGTATTGCACACCCGGTAAAAATTATTGGGAAACAGATTGCGGTAAGTAAATAGCATTTAATATTTTAACATTTACAGCAACAACTCAAATGGAAGTGCAGAGAATTTCTTTGTGGGCGAATATAGAATTCGCGATTTGTAGTATATTTGGTGAAACGCAGATGTAAATTCTTCATGTGGCGCCCAACATTTGATAAGTCATTATAAACCCAGAAATTGTAGAAATATTGCGTCCAACATAAAAAAATATTTTAATATTTGAGCGAGTATTATTTTAACTACTGAAATACCGCAAGGGACCTATATTATTTTGATATGAAAAATTAGGAACTTTTATAGGCTTTCGAATAGTATATGTTGTACCCTTCATAACCATTCCGTCGCCATTTTAAACATCTAAGTCGTTTTATGGCGCCCAATATAAAAGAGAGACAACTCTCTTTTATTGGGATATGAGGTTTTAAATTTTTATGGCGAACTTGCTTAATATCTATACATAAAAGTGTTGCGTCCTGCGGATGACCTAGACGTTTTCCAAAGGGTATTAACTGCGGTATAATTTATTTATAGGTATCATCCCAATATATGCTGTAGGATGCGCCAGTAAATACAGTAAAAAACCGGTTAAAAAGATCAAATGTGCTACAGAAAATTGAGACATCATGGACTTTTCTTTCACCATCACACATTCGCATTTAGGGTTTTTTTGTTGATTCCGCACGGTTTTACAATAACTCAAAAAAGGTTTGTGTTCAGTGGAACATTGCAATCGATAGTGTGGATCTTCAAAGACAATCCAAAACCAATGAAAATTCTACTTAAGAAGCATCTTCTGGGAAATTCAAATACCAAACAAGAGATGGCGAATCGCGGTTCACAATGGCAATGCTATCTCTCAAACATCGGCTCAAAACCTCCTTTTTTAGCCGGCCAAAATGTGGATTTAATGGGTCAATCCAAATACTTGAAGAACATATCTCCACTCCATATGTGTTTTTGTATTATCGCATCCCTTTGTATGTAGACAGATATGGCGCCCAACATGTTTTTATATTAAATTTTAGTTAAATTTCTTGTAGATTTAGTCGTTAACAAGACATCTTTGTAGAACACACACACACACACCTCTGGCATGGCATGTTTTTAAATATTAAGCCTGGCCAAGTGATATAACGTTGGGCGCCATATATTTTATTAATAAAGTGTATCCAATTCTCAGATTGGGCGCCATATATTGTTATGTTATTTTATTTAACTGTTTTCTAAAAATATTTATATGCTTTTTCAGGAAACTTTACGGCCAGCCTTATCTATTTCTGTACATTCTATGTCATTATTACATATATCGTACTGAACTTACTTGTGGGTTAGTAAAAATTGATCCCGATATGCGTTCTTCATGAGATGATCTCTAAATAATTAATCTTTACATCTTTCCCACAGCTATTATCATGGAGAACTTTTCACTGTTTTACTCGAACGAAGAAGATGCTCTACTCTCCTATGCGGATATTCGAAATTTCCAAAACACCTGGAATATTGTGGACATACATCAGCGTGGTGTAATACCAGTACGACGTGTGAAATTCATATTGCGTTTGCTAAAGGGTCGTTTGGAGTGTGATCCCCAGAAAGATCGTTTACTCTTCAAATATATGTGCTATGAATTGGATAAGTTGCACAATGGGGAAGATGTTACCTTCCATGATGTGATCAAGTATGCTTTCGGCAGCGAATTATATAAGATTGTAAAAAGTGAGATATCTGATATTCGTCCCTTTCTCTCTTTGCAGTATGCTTTCATATCGATCGGTAGATATACGCAAGGCATTGCAACTGGAGGAGTTACTGGCCCGTGAGGAATTTGAATATCTTGTCGAAGAGGAAGTTGCCAAAATGACAATACGCCATTGGTTGGAAGGATGTCTAAAGAAAATTAGAGCACAAAATGCATATGTAGGTCAATCATTTTGATACATTTTTCGTTTTCCGAATTAATTCCCTCCTGTTTTTTCCCCCCAGAAACAACAAAACTCTCTGTTGGCTGGTCTACGTGCCACAAATGAACCCATAATACGTCCCAGTGTACCAGAAGATAAAACACCAACTGGTCTTGGTGATAAATCTGCAATAGCCACAATAAGTGGCACTGTGGCAGCTGCCACATGTCCACCCACCAGTGATGCATTTTCTCCTACATTTAGTTCAACCGAAAATGAAGAGAAGGATGTGAGTACCAGTGCAGTGGCATCAACGCCGGGTGCTGGCGCCACTGCCGAAACATCTACGGTGCAGGCCACCCAACGCATCATCACCAGCACAAAACGTGGTTATGCCCTTAATCGTTCCGATTCGACGGGAAGTAGCGCTGGTCGCAAATTCCTTGCACCAACATCCTCAGATCCCCAGCGGACAACGCTCACCGACAAGGAACGCCTGCACATTGCCAATCAACAGAAAAAGAAAAATTCCATGACAACCAGCACCCTACCAGTTGCCCCGCTACCAGCCTTGCCGGGACATAAAAAGAACAGCTTCTTCGCGGGAGATGTTAGCCAATTCCATTATCCTACATTGAATCATTTCGATCATGGCCATATCCCAGCATTGGGTAGTCCATCAGGTCTAATGCCACACATTATACCCGGCACAAAGTTGTTGCCGTTCAACAATCAGGCCAATGCCGTGTATGAAGTTCATGATTGGTGGCAGGAACAAGTGCTGTGTACCCAAAATAGCGATGATGAAATGTAGAGCTGATTTGCCAAAACACACAAAAATTATAATTTAATTTATAGACTATTTTGAATATACAAAACAAACATACATACATAGAAACATAACGGTATTATAGAAAACAATTATATATTTTTTATATGGAATGTTTAGTCTTTAGAGAAGCAACGAAGAAGTAGTTAAAGAACAGAAATCGATGTCATTAGGTTTAGTTAAGTATTTGTGTCAAAAATTGTTATATTAGTTAATGTTAGATATAAATAAATAATTTAAAATTGTTGTTAATAAAGGTCGATTACAACCTGTGAAAACAATTCCTAGAAGTCAATTTAATTCGAAAACTCAATACTTTCATTGTGGTAATGTACATGAATGAACAAGATTTGGATTGGGATCAAGTAAAGTAGTTTTATATTCGACTGGACCCAACTATTATACCCTACATCATGTGGTGTGAATTCAAAATTTCTTAAATCGGTTGACATCTTCATATGCAGACTATTTCATGGTAACTTGTAGGTTGTTTATGCCATTATTTAATCTACAACCTAAAAAAGCGTTTAGATTTACGAAACCACTCGATCTCAAGTGTAAATTTCTTAGCGTAGACGTCAAATTAACGTGACGTATACGTTTTGGAATTGACGTTTGTAATCTAGTGTAGTCTAAACGCGCTCTAATTTAACGGGACCTTTGACAGGGGAAATTTAAGAACCTAAACATATATAGCCTTATTCTGAGATATCTCGCATGTAAAAAAAAATCGCTTTAACATTCTCGCCTTATTCTGAATGCATTAGGTATTAGGATCCCTGTAATCCTAATACCTAATTTTCACCCAAAGCATATTTTTTCGCTTTCGAACTTCATTCAGAATAATGCGAAAGCGAGAATGCGAAAAAAATTCACAGGAATATGTTGTTCAGAATAAGTCGAAGGGGAAGAGCGACTAAATCCACGTGGAATTGACATCCAGAATAAGGCTGATATTGAACATTTTCAGGGAATAGATTTTTCACCCATACGGAATTCGGAATACCTAATGACAGCTACTTCGGTGTAAAATTTGTCTAAAACTTTCAAGATATCAAAAAATTTCTGCAAAAATGTCAAATTATATCCACTTCGGTTTAAAATATAAGGCGGGACCGTTATGAGGGGGCTTTGTCAAAACATGGACCTACATCGGAAATTTTCCGCCATGATATTTTTCTGCCTCCCAGAACCCGAATTGTCATATTAAAGTCATATTCTGTAGGGAAATACCGAAAATGGGGTGAAATCCTACGGTGCAGGTCTGTTCCAGTACTTTTTAATAGTAAAGCTAGTAAAAGGGAAACATTTCAAATTCGTCCTCAGAGTAGCAAATAATTTGAAAAGTTCAGGAACGCAAATCTAGTAAGTCCCAATTTAGATTAGGCGAGTTTACTTGCGGCTAGTCTTTTTTGTAGGAGAGAGGTGCAAGGGTATAGAAATGAAAAAAAAATGCTCGTACCGACAATTTTCTGGCAATTCGTTTTGTGTATTTCTTATTCGTTGACATTTTATATATATTTAAGGGCCCCATACACTATAAATCATGCCGTCATGCCGATGAACCTCTTGTTGTATATGTGAGACTGACTAGTCTGACTATTCCAAAAAATCGATTTTTGTCCCAAAAATTGCATTTTGAGTCGTAAATTCAGTTGTTTTTTTATTCCGTCACAATTTTATTATTTTTGTACACAAAATTATTTACTGACAACTTTCAAAATGAATATTATTCACCAGATTGATAGGGGTTCATTTTCAAAATCAAAACTAGTTTGAATTTCATCATGCATTGTGTGTGTCACACATACATAAATAAAATTTCAAAAAATAACACATACTATGATAAATGCTGTACGGCATGATGTATAGTGTATGGGGCCCTTTAAATGTGAAAAAACAACAAATAAAAAAATATTTTGGAAACCTTGTATAGACGCATGGAGCAAGTTCAAAAGAGAACGATAAAAATTGCCGCAAGTAAACTCGCCTAATATAAATCAGGACTAAATAAGGCAATACTTCAAAATCAACATAACTGCCAATCAGAAGTAGGCATTCCTGTTTACCATTTTTACCAAATTTCTCGAGTAAAAAGTTTACAAAGAGAACGCCATTTTGTATTGTGCTCTCTTAAATCTGATTCAATGTTTTCGAGTAAAAAGTTGCAAAATTTGTAAAATTAGTAGATTCTTTTAGGTTCTGGAATGGAACTAAAATTTCTGCAGAGATTTTTTTCAACCTCAAAGAATAAAAATAAAAATTGATAATGGTTGTATTGTTGTGAACCGATGTATCCCATTTCACTTCTAAAATTAAGAATTGTAGGTCATTCTTCCTTCAATCTTATGGCTAATGAGGGTAAATAAAATTTGATACGATAAAACCCAAATAAAAAATCAGTTTCAGAAAATTTGAAGTCGAATTACGAACATCTGTTCGTCTGTTTTTGATGATAAATTCCAAAGGAAGTAATCGGTTTCCAAGCTTTGCAAATCCTAAATTTTCTTTCAAACTTAAATCAAATTTGAAGATAGGGGCAAAAGGTCTAACCCTTCTAGTACGTCTCCATAAAATGTTCAAATTTTTGTTGAAACTTCCAAAAATTAGATTAAAATATACTTGCCCTCTGGACGATGTGATAATTTGCCTCTGGAATATAGTTAAATATTGGTATGAACTCGTACCGCAATACTCTACTAATTTAAGGGCTAAGCGGAATGCTCGCGTTGAGCCACCCGTCGCGTTATATGTTATCGAAAATACAACAACTACAAGGAAACAAACGCATATCGTTTCCTTGTGGTTGTTGTATTTTCGATGTTTATTTTTTCAACACATAACTAAAAACCTAAACAATTAATGAAATGTTATGATTTCTTTACAAAATCGAATAGGGAATACCATGAAATGCTTGTTTCATCTATAACATAGTAAATTCTTTCAAATTTCAGTTTAATATGTTACCGGATAGCTTTACTTCTCAACGACTTATCGATTTCATTCGATAAGTGGAAATATGGCAACGCCAAATCATCTGCATCTTGTTATTGTCGTATTTGCTTTTATCCCCACATTCTAAACATTGCACAATTCTATTTTGTAGTCACATTCGCAACCGTCACATTCTCTTGTAAACGTTTCAGTCGGAGCAAAATAATTAATATAATTAGTTCGGAATTTATGGAAATATAGGACTGCCATCCCATAGAAATGGCGGATGACGATGATTCGGGCGTTCATCGTCTCGAAGGTACAAGTGGCAGTCAAATGCGCGGCGGATTGATAATCAAAAAAGCAAAGACCGACGATGGCAACAAGTTCAAAGTTCCGAAACCATCGATTTTGGGTTTGGATAAATTGGCGGCACAAAAACGCAAAGAACGCGAGGAGAAGGAACGTCTTATTTCGTTCCGAGACAATGAACACGACGACGATGATGATAGGCAAGGTGGCAGCAAAACCCCATCCACTTCGACCAATCTAAGTGAATTTGCCTTTAAGAAGCCGGATACAATGAGTTTCCAAAAGGTCAGCCGTCAGCTGAGAGCCCATAAGGATGAAACTCCCTCTCATACGGGTGGTGTATCCGAGGAAGCTCGGGAACGTTTAAGGGAGCACATCAAACGAGATCGTAGCAAAGGCGGTGTACATTATTCCACTAAGAATTATGAGGAGCGTGATGATAAGGAACGCAGTAGATCATCATCCTCGTCGTCGTCATCTTCAAGAGATAGAGATCGTGATCGAGACCGTCATAAAGACAGAGACCGCAGTCGTGATAAACGTCGTGACCGTGATCGTAGTAGAGAACGTGATAGGGACCGTGAACATCGTAGAGATCGCGACCGTAGCGATCGTAGTGAACGAGATCGCAGTGAACGTGATTCCGCACGCAGTGTAAATACGCCACGTTTCCGTGACGAGCCTAAAACTCCATCTGGTGTATCGGTATCGGGCAGCGCATGGGATGATGATGACCCATCGGAACGTTCATTCCGTAAATCATCTTGGGATTTCCCAACTCCAAAATCGTACGCCAGCTCGGAGAGAGGTGATTGGTCGGAACGTAGTTCCAGCAGTGGTTTTGGTTCTATGTCCGGCTCTCGCAGCCGCTCACGTAGAGATCGAGAAGATGACACACCTCGTCCCACGCCAGCCCACAAATACAATCAATGGGCTAATGATCGCAAACGTTCGGGAGCCACCCCAGCAACAGGTCGTAGTAATCGTCAACCGTGGGGTGAGAGTGATGAAGATCGTGATATGTGGGAGGAGGAACAACGTCGCTTGGATCGAGAGTGGTATAACATTGATGAAGGCTACGATGACGAACATAACCCCTTCGGCAATGCCAATGCCGATTATTTCAAGAAACGTGAAGAAATGTTGGAGCAGAAACGCACGAAGCGTATCAGTGCCCAGCAGAGACAGAATAACAAAGACAATGAATTGTGGGAACGAAATCGTATGTTAACCTCCGGTGTGGTTATGTCCATTAATGTCAATGATGACTTTGACGAGGAAGCTTTGGAACGTGTCCATTTGTTGGTCCATCACATTATACCACCATTTTTGGATGGCCGCATTGTTTTCACCAAACAACCGGAACCTGTTATTCCGGTGAAAGATCCTACCTCAGATATGGCTTTATTGGCACGCAAAGGTAGTGCCTTGGTGCGTGTCTATCGTGAACAGAAGGAACGGCGTAAAGCCCAAAAGAAACATTGGGAATTGGGCGGTACGAAATTGGGCAACATTATGGGTATAGAAAAGAAAGTCGACGAAGAAGATGCGAAATTCGACAAAGACTCTGACACTGCCGATTATCGTAAAGATCAAAAATTTGCAGATCATATGCGTGATCAAGATAGTTCAGGGGGAGGTTCAAGTGATTTTTCACGTAAAAAATCAATATTCGAACAGAGGCGATTCTTGCCGGTGTTCGCCGCTCGCCAGGAACTGCTGAATATTATACGTGAAAATTCGGTTATTATTATTGTGGGTGAAACTGGCAGTGGCAAGACAACACAGTTGACCCAGTATCTGCACGAGGATGGTTATAGTAATTTTGGAATGATTGGTTGTACCCAGCCACGTCGTGTTGCTGCCATGTCTGTGGCTAAGCGTGTTTCCGATGAAATGGGTACCAAATTGGGTAAGATTTGAAACAATTTTCCTTATAAATAGTTTTCTAATTTCTTGTTTTGTTTTTATAACAGGCGAAGAAGTAGGCTATGCTATACGTTTTGAGGATTGTACATCGGAGAAAACGGTCATCAAATACATGACCGATGGTATTCTGTTGCGTGAAAGTTTACGTGATCCAGATTTGGATGGTTATTCGGCAATCATTATGGACGAAGCCCATGAACGTTCGTTGTCTACAGATGTTTTATTTGGATTGTTGCGTGAGGTAAGTTTTGAATTTTAATTTCAATTTCAAATTAGTCCGTATGTAGATTAAGTAAACAAAGGGGTATAGTCGGACAGTCCAAACTATATCTTTATTATCATAAGATGGAGCGCATATTATATTTGTCATTCCGTTTGCAAAACCTCTAAATATTATATTTATCTGAGACCCGATAAAGTATATATTGTTAATCAGAATAAAATTATATGTCTATTCAGCAATGTCTCTCTGTTGAAATCACTATAGAGCTCGAAATAAGATAGAATTGTTACTACTCCTAGGTTGTTTGGTATATAAAATGGGTCCACGTTTTAGTATAGCCCCCAAATATTAGGTATTTGACAGGCTTTTGGCTCGTTTTTAAGTTAGAATTTTGAATTCTAATTGAGTAGCAAATATTCCTACCAAAAATTATCAATATTGGTTCATAGTTCCCATATAACGATACTCCACATTATTCGGTATTTTAACCAAATTGGTTAAAATTTAGTATTAAATAGCAAATCTCTTTAACAAAAATCATGAATGTCGGTCCTATTTTTAAGATAATTATATATCGCGACCCTCAATCTAATATTTTAATCATACATGTATATTGTAGGAAGATAGGACTTATCGGTCCACTCTTATTGGTCAAAATTATGAAAACTTGTAAATCTCATATAGAGGAAACGGATTATACCTTACATAGATCAAGCTAGAAGATGGGACCGTTGCTTCACTCTTCTGGTACCTTCCCTACAAAGTGTCAACATTTGGAATTTGGCTAATTCAATATCATGATAATGTAATGACTTCTTTAACCGAATTGGTTAATCATCCTACTTAAAATTTACCATGGCACAACCCGAATTTAGTAATGTCGGATATTTTAAATGGTTATCTCATGTTGTAATTCTTTGTTCCTCAAGGGGGGTGCTATACAAAATTCTCCCTGAATTTAATTATATGTTTACTTGTTTTTATTATTTTATCGATTTCATACGTTCCAAGAACTGCATTATTGGGCTATATCAACCATCTACTGTGGTCTTCGCATTAAACTTTTCCGACTAAAAAGACTTTTAGATATTTAACTTTATTTCAGATGTATATGGACAATATTGCCAATTTTTTAATATTCCATTTTCAAAAAAATCAGCTTATTTGTTTTTGTGGCACATCAATGATTTTTGGTACACATACAGAGAAAAATGTTCTGACTCCGAAACCGTTCGCAATCAAGTTTTTGGTTGATGCGCGCAAAAGTTATCGAGGTTTTAATTTTGTCACAGCGACAACAAAACAAGATATTGAGGAAAAATATTTGTTTTTGGTTCGAAAAAATAATGTCATCATATTTAGTTTTTTTAATTTTATACAAGAAATTTCAGAAAAAAATGTTGGGGTTATTCTGCTATTTTACCCGTTGGATTTTCACGAAGTAGATTTTATATCATCCGAAACGTAAAAAACCTTATTGATCCCGGGTACCCATATCATTCAGTTGACAGATCTAAAAATTTGGCCCGAAGAATAGTTTTTTTTAGAAATTTGATCGCACAAAATTTCCACTTTCAGATGAGTATTACTCTGAAGCTGTGCATAATACATACACAAAATATATATCAAATTACGCAGATTCGCGACTACAATAATCTTATAATCGATATTTAGAAATTCATGTTTGCGTATTAAAGCTACAAGTAAAATTCAAAAAACACTCAAAATTGAGCTTCAAAATGTCAGCATCATTTAAAGGTAAATGCAGTTAAAATTTTGAAAAATGATACATAAGTGGCGTAGTCCCCGTTTTGTTGGCTTCCAGTTTTACTTTGACACGAAGACCGTGAAATGAGTGGCTTAGTCACAAATCGATAGAGAACATAAAAAAACTCGTTCGCCTCAACCTGTTTTTACACATTTTTTTACATTAAAGTAGACACAGCTTCCACCAAAATAAAGTTTGGTGGTCAATATTATGAACAGTTTGCAATGACAGACCAATTAACCCAAAACTATTCACTTTTTTTTATAAACTTAAGTAATTCCCGAGTTATAAAGGGGCGAACCTCCGCTTCAGCTATGTTAAAAATTGGCAATATTGCCCATGTACATTTGTTTGGGAATATTTACTTTTCATACTTACTACATGTCTTTCTTATCAATACATATGTATATCTCCATTGTCTCGGGCATGCCATTGAGACCTCTCGACATCCCCCTGTTTGAGGCGATATACAACACCGATTCAGCTTTCATATTCGGCCATGTAAACATATAGCGCATATGTTTGCATTATACTTATCTATATATTATATCTCTAGTATCCGATTTCGACCAAATGTGATTAATATTAATTCAGTTCTTCCTTGATGACTATTATATTTTCTTTTTTGTGAAATCCAAAAAAAAAAAAAAAAAAAAAAATACAAAAAATGTCGCCTTCAAAAATTCTTTAACCGACAATGTGGTACGAACTTCAATTTATTGCCGGCTTCGTTGTTTCTTCGAAATTTCAAACATTTTTCAATTTCTTTCGATATGTAATAGACCTTTAAATTTTGGTTTCCTTAAAAGAAAAATACATTCGACTAAAATAATGCGATAATTCAAAGAGGCGGTGCTGGTGATCTTCAAAAGTGAATATGTGTCTGGAGTTTGATGTTCAATTACGCTGGTGGCCAATATATGTATGTCATAATAAAAAAAGCCAATTCGGATGGCAGAAATAAGCAAATATATATATATTTATAAATTAACAATATCGATTGGTTCAAACTTCGGATAATTGTATCGGGAAACCATTTCCCAAAACTGCAGGAATGCAGCGAAAATCAATTTGTGTACGCTGTATTGTAAATGACAATCGTGAAAATTTTAATCTGAATCTAATTATTAACACAAATTGTTCGTCCGGTAAGCAAGATAATAATAGCAGCAATAGCCTGTGGAAAACAATGTAGTACGTGGTTGAAATTTCGAATTCAATTTCCGCGACAATCAGGTATTTGAATGTCTTAGTCGCATTTTCCCAACCATAAGGTGGAGTGTATGTTAAAATTTTTCATTCCATTTGCAACACCCCGAAATATTTACCCGAAATTTACCATACGTCTAGCTCGTTTGGTATTGAAATTGGGATAAATCGGGCCCAGTTTTAGGGTAACCCTCATATGACAGTACACCCAAATATTCGATATTTTGAGGATTTTTGACACATTTAGGATATAACGAGTTGGAATAATGAAGGGTAAGAAGCTAATGACACCTGTCATTACTCTAATTTCAGCTTTGCTCAGGTTCAACAGTGAGTTTGTTCTCTTGGTTTAGAAGTTCGGCCAGATAGATCTTGACACATTGCACCTAGGTTCGTTGTGCCAGAGTTCATTGGCTCGTCCGTCGAAGAACGCATCAAAGTTCCCATTGGGTAGTAAATCTCAGTACCCCCAAATCTCATTACCAAAAATAATCTCATATTGGTATACTTTTTAGGATAGCCTCCATAAATCAATACCCCCCATTATTCGGTATTTTGTGGAGTATGGGCAATCTGATATTTTGAGTTCCCAATTCTTGCTACCGAAAATACATCTCATTATTCGCTATTTTTGGGAGTTTGTGCACGTTTTTAACCAAAAATTTCGGTATTCTGGGAAGTTTTTGCAGGTTGTCTAAACGAATTAGCTCGAATCTGATATTTTGGATTCTCATTTGGTAGAAAAAGAAAATCTCCTTACAAAAAAAAAAAAAAAAACATTTCAATATTGGTTCATGCTTCAGGGTAGGGTAGCCCCCATATCTCCTAGTTACATTTTTCCTTTTTTCCGGATTTGAATAAAAACCACTTTCTTGAAAGTTTTCAATATAGGTTTATGATTTTTCCACCGCTCGCTTAATTGATTCTCATAGCATAGTTTTCCGAACTGAAATAAACAGCCTACCAGCAGACAATTTACAATGACATAGTCACCATATGTAGTTCCAGGCCTATTTAAGATATTTTGAATGCACACCACATGATGAATGAATGTATGAAAAGATCTTCCCGAACGAACTTAACGACTTTTTCAATTGTTTGTATATTTCATCTATTTATCGACACTTTTTAGCGGTAATCTTACAAGATAAGTCCTTCCTAAATGGTAATTTCCTATCCTAAAAATGTCGTGAATTACCCACTTCTTCAAAAGCAAGATAATCTGCAATTTTCCTCGAAAGAAAATGTGTGCTATTTTCCAAATAAAACCTGATCTTTTAGTTCAATGAAGATTCCGTAGAATTGTTCTTCAATTTAAATTTTTATTAGTTTTCCAAATTGCAGTTAGGAAAAAAAATCCTTAAAAATAACCTCTATTTTTCTTGAGGGCATAGTAAATAATGTGTATAATTCTTTTTGTAGCTCCATATATGTGTATTTTTACTTAAATATCTTAATTATAATAAACTTATATAGGGAATAATAACAATAACAAGCTCTTAAACATAGAATTTTTCTCTTTGTGCAATTCAATTGTTATCCTTTTTTGTTAAATAATAGATTTTAAAAAATAATAATAATAAGAGTAATTAATTATAATAAAAATAAATAAGTCTTTTCTCCATTCGTTACTTGTTTTTCTCATATATGCATATGTAAATGTATGTAGAAAAAACGATAACAATAATAGTTCACAGTTTTTTTATAGAGTAGTAGAGCACATTGTGGTTGTGAAAAAGCTGTCGCGATATATAGTTTTTTGTTGGTTTGTTGGTTTTAAGGGCAGGTGGGAAATTTTGTGTGAGCGTAGGGTGTATCCTTGACAAATTCAAGAAAAAATGTTAAATTATTTTCTTTTTTTTTTTTGCCTTTTGGATATGTAGTAGTGTTTTGGCTATACATTTATGAGGGGGTCCTTTCAATTGGTTTTGTGAGGAAGGGTGTTTGGCTAGTTTAGGCTGTGCTTTTTTTTCCAGTTTTCTTGACTTGAGGACTAGAACATTTCATTGTGTGGTGTTTTATTTTTCTTTGTATTACTTTAATTATTTAAATCGTTAAAGTAAACATTTACTAATATGTACTTGTTTTCTTTGTGTGAGTGTTATTTTTTACCATCATTTAAATAATTTTTTTTTGTTATTACCAAGGCTTTAGTGGTTATCTTATCTGTGTATACCATCCATCTACCAAAAAAATGCAATGCATATGAATATTTTTCATTCAATCACTTCATGCGGTACTTTTTTCGTAGAACAGGGGCTTTGTGTAAAAATATCAAATTCTTTTTTTATATATCACAAATGTTGTTGTTCTAACCCTCATTACTTTGTTTTCTTCATTATGGTAATTGTTAATAACAATACAAAAAATAAGCCATTCTTTGGTTCCTTTCATTTTCCAAATAAAAAAATAAAGAATGTTCACAGTTTTTGTGGTCTGGTTGCATTGGGCATCACAATTTCCCATCACTTTGTTTGCTTTGCATTTACTTTGAGGTGGAATATGATTTTTTGTTCATCAGCAGCAGCATACCCGCATTCATGCCCACACTGCCCCACTTAACACATTCCGACATCTGAAAGAAATTGGAAAAACTGAGAAATATTAAAATCCTTAAATTTTAAATTTTTTTCAAATGTAAACTTACTTGACGTTTTCGAACATCCTGCTGGCGACTGCCATAGCGACACCAATAGACAAAATGCTGATTATTATTCCAAAGGCTTTGTTTGGCTTTGCGTGCAAAGGATACCTGAAAAGGATTTAGAAGTAAAAAAAATATTAATAAAAATAGATTCTAGAGGTCGCAGTGGTGAATGTTGTTATGGTTCTCGATCTGACCTCTTCAACTGAATTATGAAAATTTTCAATTTTCTGCTTTAATCGAAACCTCAAAATTTTAATATCCACTTGAAAAAATGACCTTTATCAGCGGTTACAAAATCTCCTTTCAAAAAAATTTAATTAGTTACGCATTTTTGTTATGGTCCTCTATCGCGATTTGTTATATTTATTATTCCCTCCCTCCTTTTGGTGGGGTATATTAAATTAGTCATTCCGTTTGCAACAACTCGAAATATTCCCTTGAGACCCCATAAGGAATATATGTATATTTTTTATCAAAATAAAATCCACGTTTTGGTATAGCCCCCATATAACGACACACCCCAATATTAGGTGTTATGGGGATTTTTGACACTTTTTTCCACCGAATTGGCTGTAATTTCCTACGTTTGGTTCTCATTGGGTATCATATCTTCCTACCGAAAATAATCAATATGGGTCCACTTTTTAGGTTAGCCCCCATAAAACGGTACCAACTATTATTCGGTATTATGGGAGGATTCAGATAGGTTTTTCAACATAATCAGCTGTAAATTGGTATTTTGGATTCACTTCGCCGGTACCATTCAATATTCGGTATTTAATGGTTTGGGCACATGTTTCTACCGAATTGGGTTGTGGGTATGGTAGTAAATCTTTCTTCTAAAAATTGTCAATTTTGGTTTACATTTTAGTGAAGCCCCCATATAACGCTACATCCCAAATTTCAGTGTTTTTAGGGGCTTGAGCACGTGTTTCAACCAATTTGGGAGCAATTTCATATTTTGGGTTCCTATTGTCCCTATAAACATTTTTCAACATTGACCCATGCTTCCGGTATAATGGTATACACATGTGTCTTCTGCCACTCAACGATGGACAGCTACAGAGGATATGTTCAATTGTTTCTAACCTCTCCGTTGGAGTTCCATTTCGAAGTGAGGGATCTAATCTTGTTATGATCCCCACAATGATTTTAATCTCTTTCTTATTATGTGACAACAGCAAAGACGTTCTTCGGCGTGAGAATTCTGGCCAGATAGCTTTCGGTCTTCTGTTGCCGACTATCACTCCGTAGAACAAACGGATTTTGCCTTTGGAATATCCAATGGGTGATAGCACAGATCTCTCAATCGGAAGGTGGGACGACTGTGAACCCCCTGAGCAAGCTCATCGGCTATCTCATTGCTTCTATGTTGCTATGTCCTGGAACCCAACATAAATTAACTAATCGTCGTATATCATGTAGAGCAGCCTTGCAATCAAGAACTGCTTTTGAGTTTATAGTGCACGACTTTAAAGCCACTCTGATGTCGTTAAAATCTCTATAAGGGGGTACTCCTCCTCAAAAAGTCACAACCTGGCGTCATGTTGAGGATACTAGCGTGACCCAAGTTCAGCGACTTCCAGGCATCCCTTTCTCGGAGCCTCAGGGCACATCTAGCAGCCTGGAATTTAAACAGAGAGTCCAGTGGTTGGGGGTTGAAGATCGCATTCAAGGCTGTCTGTGGTGTGCTTCTAAGCGCTCTGGTAGTCAGAATCGTAGCCGATCGCTGTCTGAATTTAATTTTGTCAGCAGTATCTTTTTGTTGACCCCTGTCACCATACCAGACATCCATAGGTAAGAATGGGGAGTATAGCCAATGTATGATCTCTGGTCTAAGTCTCCTACTCTTACCTAAAGAGTTCTTACTGGATTAGAGTGCTATTAGTTCTTTCTTAGAGCGTTCCTCTATATTCCTATTCAACGTTAATTTGTGTCAATGAATGTACCAAGGTATTTTGCTTCTGCAGAAAAGGGTAAGGTCACTCCACCACAAAGATGGCAAGCAAATATTTTTAATCTTACGTTTCCTAGTGAAGAGCACCAATTCGGTCTTAGTGGGGTATACGCCAAGACTACTGACGAGTTGGACAGAATTGAAAGGACGCCCTCCATAATATCTGAAATAGTCGTCAGAAATTTCCCACCGACTAGCAAGACTAAACCATCTGCATAGGCTACAACCTTTATTTTAAGATGGTCGAATTTCAGCAATATCTCATTTATAACAGAACAGATTTCCTCACGGAACTCTCTCCAAAGGAGAAGTTTATAATTCAATCCAGTCCATTAGAAGTGGGGGGATTCCTGAGCTTAGGAGAGCCCAGACTCTCGTTTAGCCTTCTTGATTTCACTCCTGTACCTTGTGCCTATTTTTTCTGAAAAAAATGTTGACAATAAGTTTATTGTCAAAAAAAGTTACAGGTCTTTTATTCAGTTTGCAATTTCAGTTGCTTTAGTTTTGGTCACCAGGGTGTTTTGAAATTTGTAACCGAATTTTCTCATCAAAGTGGCTATAATTTGGCATTTTGCAGAAAATTGTCAATATTGGTCCAAGAGCAGTATTTTCTTTTTAGCAGTACGGCCCGACCAAACTTAACATTCATTTATCGGAGTTTTTGTCTCCTTCTAAAAAAACATTTCTTCTTTCCATTTTGTTATGGCCCTCTATCTAACATCTCCAAGCATTTTGTGATCTTTTTTCGAAATGTTGATTTTGATTTTATTTTTTTTTTTGCCCTTTTGTTTGCACTCACCTGATTTCTTATATCCTTTTCATTGTGTGGTGGCTTTTCCTTATCGGCAAAATTATTAATACGCAATTCCCAGCCATTATTCCATACATCCTCCAGGGACATTTTTAACATTTTAAAGGTACCATTTTCACGTATTTTCACAGAAAATATTTCAATTGTTTCGGGTTTGGTTTTATTGTCTGCAAGAAAATAAAGAAGAACAAGAAGAAATAAAAATTAAAATATTTGAATTGATATATTTATGGCTAATTAAATGCAAAATATTTTTTTAATCGAATTGGCTATAATTTGGTATTTTGGGTTCTCATAGGGTCCATTTTTTAGTGTAGACCCCATTTAACAGTACTTCTCAATTTTGGATAGATTGGGATTTTAGTCGGAGTTTTTTTTACCGAATTGAATAACAGGTGTGCCATTAAATGGTGGCTACCCCGAAACAATTTAATATTTCGGATTCTCAGTGGATAGAAATTCACAGTACCAAATATAATCAATATTAAAATATATATCGGGGTAGGACCTAAATAATCGTACATCCATTATTCGGAATTTTTGGGCATTTTGAGTAATTTTTTCAAAAAATATGGAATATAATATTATAGGTTCGCATTGGTTGTCAAATCATCCTACTCAAAGCCCCCAATTGTTGGTCTAATTTTTGGTATTTTCATAATTTCGGTATTATTTTCCAGTCAATAGTTGGACTTTGTTTCTCATATGGAATGTCGATTGATGTGGGGATAAAGTATTCCAGCTAATTACCAAATTACAATTTGAGTTTATTCAACATAAAAGGTAAATAATTAAAATTCCATGACAACTACAACCATATAATCACCATTATTTGGGCCCACCAATAATTGTCAGTTATTTATTTTGGTTTTCAAAAAAATCACCCTTTAAAGAGAACATTCCAACAAAAACTACAATTATCGACGAATGCAAAACAATCAATCATTTTTGACTTAATCATCAGCAACAAAAAAATAAAAACTGAAAACAGAAAAAATAACGACAAGTGAAAGTCCATACATTTTTCCAATGAAACAAATATTTTAGTAGGTGGCGCCCAATACTTAGTAGGGTAGTTACTAGACCATGACAAATAAAACTAAGACGCTACCAAGGTACATTTATAACAATAAATAACATATACTTATTAGTAGAAACCAACAAAATTACTAATCGATATTGTAGTATGATGACGACTAGCAAGCAAGCAATTATTGATAATGAAACCAAATATTCAATAAGGCTTTCCCCTCCAAAACAGAAATAAAAAATAACAAATTTATTGACCAATATTTAAACAAGACAAACAACACATCTAGATTATTCTAGAGTCAATAAATGTTATTTATTAAACAAAACAAAAATACACTATTCCGGAGTAATTATTAATCGATAACAAAAAAATGCCGAAAATATATGGACCCACGTGAAGCTTCAAAATTTATTTTTGGAGAAGGGGCTTGTTTGTGAGATATCTTCACAAAGGTGACCTTGCTTAATTTGTTTTTTGGTAAAGATTATAAACAAAAATTTTGCAAAATTTGATTTTAGTTTCAAATGGAGTTGATTAATGTTTCTGAAATGAACTCCAACAACAAATGACAGATGTTGTTTGACTCTTTTGCATTTTCCGATTATTTTATTTGCCATAAAAAATAAAAAGAATTTATAGCCACCAAAATATGAGTTGGTAATAGAGTAGGCGTTGTGTCATGGACTTTATCTTTTGATATTAGTCAACCATGAGAATTTGGGCATCATTAGAACAGGAAATGAAATGAAGAAAATGTTTTCCCTCTGAGAAACTAAAGCGAACTTGATTGCAAAATATTGGAACAATGCAAAATCTTGATGAAACAGTCATATAATTATCAGCAGAGTTGGAAAAGTTGCGAAAAAATCGTTAATTTCGGACAGAGCTTTTTATATCCTCCGCCATGGGCATAAAAAAGTTATAAAACTTTGATCATTTAGCTCGACTTGAAATAGGAAAAATATGACTTGAAAATCATTCATTTGATCATCGACCTTACAGGCCAAAATCAAATAAATAAAAATAGTTCGGTATATGTAGTATATGATTGAAAATTCGCCAAGAACCTACAAAAATTGAGCGGAAAAAGGAATATAAAAATTACGAAATTATATGGAAGAAGTATATCCAGAATGCTTGAACTATCAACGTATGTTCAAAAAGTCGGGACTTTTATATGTGTGCTCTGTTCCACAATAGATCTGGATTTTTATCCGATATCTAAAATGGAACGGGACTCTAAGAACAATTAGTGTCAATAGGTATTTTATCTTCTGAAAATAGGGTCGGAATTTGGGCTTATATTAAAATACTAGCGACATGTCCGCTACTTCGTATGCGAAAAGGGAATACAAAAAAAAAAAATAATAAATAAATAATATTTTATATTGATATCGTGAATAACGTATAATTTATTGTACTATAATTCCGAAATCCATCTATATTCCTACATCTAATATCAAGCTTATTACCACTTAGTACTCTTCATACACATATGCACGAATTTCCAAAATCTTTTTCTTATTTCCATTCTCAAAAGTGATCAGACTTTCAATGATGTATTTTAGCAAATACCTAAAGGTTCCACATTTAGCTCCATTCAGCACTTTTGGAACAAATAATTACACCCCATAAACTTCGACATTAATCTAAATTCCAAATCTCAGGATTCTAGCTGTATCCATTCACCCAAATCCAAAACTATATTAATTTCAGGATATCATACCTATCCTTTCACAAAAATCCAACTTGTACCATATTTTGTACCATATAACCCATTTTTGTGGCCAAAGGTACGAATCAATCCTAATCTCAGCCCCATCCGTTCACACAGAAACAAATTGTATTATAGTTAGTAAATTTTAGTACCCATAAGTACATATTCCCAAAATTCACTTAATGCTACACTCTAACAGTCATCTAAATTCCAAATTTCAGGATTCCAACTCTATCCTATCACCCAAATGCAAATTGTATCAAATTTAGTACCATTTAGCATGTTCTGTACCCTATTACTACCTCAACCTTGCAAAACCTTTAGGATCCCAGCTGTACCCTTCACACAAATTCAACGTGGACCATATTTAGTACTTTTCGTACACATAAATACGAATTACAAAGCTGTCTCTATAACTGAATCCTCAAGGGTTATCTTAATTACAAATTTCAGATTTTCAGCTCTCTCTGTTCACCTAAAATCCAAATTGTACTAAATTTAGTACCATTTAGTACGAATTTCCTAAGCTCCTCAATCCTTCAATCCAACAGTCATATTAATTCCCAATTTCAAGACTCCAGCTCTTTCTGTTCCAACTTGTACAAAATGTTGTACCATTTAGTACTTTTCATATGAACAAGCACGATTTTTTAAAGCTACCTCAATCCTGTACTCCAATAATTGTACCAATTCTTTTTCAAGATTCCATCTTTACGTTCAACTGAATTCAAATATTACCATATTTAGTACCATTTAGTACATTTCATACACAAAAGTACCAATATCTAAATCCATTTACATACATCAACATCACTTCCCAACTTGTATTCCATATAAAATTTCGAGATTCTAGCTGAATATATGTTGAATATATGTATATACAATTAGAACTAAATTTAGTAATGTTTAGTACTATTCGTACACTTATAGGTCGAATTTCCAAAACAAACTCTTTTGTACATCTGCCTAACTTTTTCATCATAGATCCACATTCCAAATTTCAGAATTCTAGCTCTACTCGTTTGCCTAATAAAGGATACCATATTTAGTACATATTAGTACGGTTCGTACCCTTCTAGTTCGAATTTCGAAAAAAAATCTGATTTTATTACAAATGACTAATCTTATGTCGATTTATTCCGATCAAGAATTTATATACTTTGTGAGGTATGTGACGAAGATTTTTGTGTGTTGTATCGGCTAGGGAAATTTAGGATCGTCGGACTGGACCGACTATATGATACCCTTCACCATTTTGGGTATATTATACATATGTATCCTTACAATTGTATGTCAATGTTCCCTCGAAGGTACGCTATGCCAGATTTTGTGCAAATCGAAAAATATGTTCGGACTTTGTTGCACCATTTACATTAAATCAAATATGTTAGCTATATCTAAATCTGAACCGATTTTCATGAAACCTAACACACATCATTCTACTCTTAATTCAGAACGCTGTGCAAAATTTCGTGCAAATCGAAAGATATATAGGTATTTTGGTGCACCATTTACCTTAAATCGGAAGCTATATCTAAATCTGAACCGATTTTCTTCAATTTCAATAGGGTTCGTCCTTGGGCCAAATAAGTGAGCTGTGCCAAATTTCATCCAAATCGGATCATATATGCGACCTGTATCGGATCATAAATGCGACTCAGAAAGTGATTCTATGCATATTCTCAAATGGAACCATGTGTCTATCTCGTTTCCTTTTGCCTGTTACAAACATATGCGCAAAGACATAGTACCCTGAACCTAATACTCGGTAAGGGCTTTCCCTCTAAAAACGAAAAATTCCATCCTCCCAAAATCTTGTTCGAAATACAAAAGCGGTCCTTTTCTTAAAAACATTTAGTCATTTAGGCCATTTCCTTCCCATACACCCAGAATAGTTTCCATGAAATACGTATGTTTTTGACCGGCTATTTCTATCTTAGCCGGACGTTTAGGTTGATGGTTTTCTGACATTCTTTCTTTTTGAACATCCCAAAATTTCATTTTTTGTATTTCCTTTCTTCAGTTCTTGCTCTTCTTTCTGACCCTTTTCTCTAATCTCTTCCTTTTTTTAATTTTGATTTACATTTAATTTATTATTCCTTTATATAAATATTTACACATTATCATCGCAAGTGTGTGTGTGTGTCGGAACTGATATCGACACACAATAATGCGCTCTACTCTATTATCGATTACAAGGCGACCTTTTTGTTTATTTTTATTAAAGAAAAAAATGAAGTGATAATGAGTGCACATTACAAACAAATAAATAAAACAACAACAACACCACACACTTAAATGGCGCAATAAGTACCACAGAGAGATAGGCGGACATGTGACTATATATGTAGAGCATACTTTACTGATATTAAATTATGAAATGGAACCACTCTATAATTTACTATTTTTAAAAGATA